AAACCGGGGGGGCCCCGGGGCCCCCCGGCCGGCAGGCCCAGGGTGTCATTCTAGAGGCAAGGGCCACGGCTGGCCTTGCCCAGCGGCTGGTGTGCACATCGAATGCTGCTGGGTTGCCCTGGCTTGCTGGGCCTGTGGGACTGGGCTGCAGGGGGAACAGCCCATTAGCAGACCACCCAAGCTGGAGGGGTCCGCACCAGGTGTGCATCACAGGTGCTCCCCAGCCCCTTGAGTGTCATCGCCACCCACCCATGCGCTGGGCTTTCTGCCGCTGAGCCTGAATGCGGCCCCGGACACATCGCTTTCTGCATCCACAGCTCTGGGCTGTGTGGCCACAACAGTCTAGCCACAAACCCCTGCTCTCCGCAGCCCATCCTGCGCTCTCCAGCAAGGAGCTCCGCTCCTTCGATTAGGACGGGCTGTGCCTCACGGACCCTCCCGAGCCCCTGTGCACAGATGCTGCAGGGCTGAGCACAGAACTGAGCTCCCCCAGACGCCACGTGAAGGCAGGAGTCCCTGCACGCCCCTCGCTGAGGACACGCATGAGCTGCCTCTCGCAGAAAGCCTGCAGGGACTGCAGACAGACACACTGCCCCGTGCGACTGCCTGCTCCTGAGACGGCGCCTCACGGAGAAGGGACCACCTGGGCCGCCCGCTGCTCCAGCAGACAGCTGAGTGGGTACTCCGTGGACTCTCTGACTCAGGAGCCTGGTGGCCGGGGTCCAGGAGCCAGGGCCCGCGTCAGGCCTGCGGCAACGCAGCAGCGGGAGCAGAAAGGCCCGTGGGGCCGTGGGAAGTGCTGCCTCTGGCATCCAGCTTGCCCCAAGGGAGCCTCCTGGGAGGCATTTATCTACTTATTAGGGGCCGCTTTGTCCAGGCCCCTCTCCCAGGCTGTACCCCAACACGGCCTGAGGGTGCCCAGTTCCAGCCTAAGTCTCAGGACAGTCTGGGCACAACTGGGGTCATCTCTTTACTGACTCACCAGGACATCGAGGAACTTCTGGTTTTGAGCAGTGGGGACGAAGGTGGAGGAGGAACGTCCACCTGAATGCAGTCCCCGGGGCGCCTTACTGAGCACGTCGTGGTGGGGACATGAGGTCTTCCCTCTGATTGTGGCTCGGGGTCTGCAGTGGGGACAGAGCACTGGCAGGCTGCCCCAAAGCAGGGACTCCCTTGAGGATGGAGGCCGTGGCCCCGCTTGCTGAAGGGCCTCCAAGGAGGGTGGGGGCAGCGGACAGCCCAGACGGGGCAGGGTTTCTCCCTGCGGCTGACCAGGAAGCCGTGTCTCGGTTCTCACTGGTCCGTGTTGCCTGCCCCCTTCGGCTGCCTTCAGATGTGGGCTCGCTGGAGGGAATTTCAGCCAACAACTTTAAAGTGACCCCAGCCTCCTGCCCCACCCATTCCTGCCCACCCCCTGAGTGTGTCCCCAGGTCTGACCACCCAGGACCGAGGGCACTTCCAGAAGTTTGTGACACAGGCTTATTCTGGTGCAAAACATTTTGGAATCCGTGCGTAGTGTTCTTGTAAGCTGCGTCTCACACGAGTGCACGTGCTCAGTGCCTGGCCGTAACCACACCCAGATGGGCGGCTTCAGCCAGCCATGCGGCCTCTCCCGGCCTGGGGCCGGAAGCCAAGACCCGGGCCCTGCAGCAGCCCCCTCCCTTAGGTCGGTGCCCTCCTGGTGGCCTGTGGCCTCCCTGTGTGCAGCTGTGTCCAAGTTCTGTTCTGTACGGCGGCCAGCCTGGGTCAGGGTCCGCCCTGTGGGCCGAACGTAGCCGCTGCGATTTATGATAGCCTGCCTCCAAGTCGGACCCCGCTAGTGGGGGCTTAAGACTTGCACGTGCGTGTTCTGGGTGACGTGGCTCTCCGTGACAACGTTGTCTTCGCTCGCTGGTGTCGTGGCCTGCCCTCGCCCTGGCATGTGGTCTGCAGGGAGGCAGCACTGCTCTCCCTGACGGGCCTGGCACCACAGGCTCTCGTGTGTCCGCTGGTGAACGAGCAAGCGGCAGTACTGGCATGCCCCCCTGCATGGCACAGCCATGTGGGCTCCGCAGCTCGGCGTCACTGGGAGGCCCTCATGGTCACGCAGGTGACTGGCTGACACATCTGAGCGCCGTCACTCGGGACTTGATGGGGCCTCACACCGGGGTTGCTGCGGTGCCCCGATCGCCAGCCTGCTGCTCACCTGGGCCTCGGGTCCCCAGATGGCGGCCTAGCTGGTCCCCGCTGCGGCTCTGCGCCCGCATCCCACAAACGCTCTCCCGCTGGGATCCGGGCTCTGCAGAAGTGAATCCCTGTGCACACCACACACCTACTCTGTGGTCTGGTCTTGGCATCTGCCTCCCGCCCCACCCCTTCCCATCCCCATCCCATCTGCTTCATCGCATTTTAATTGAGGGCCCAGAGGAGCCTGCGGCTGCGTCCTGGGCCCATCTGACCCACAATCCCACCTGCACCCGTGTATATCTCACTGCTGGAGCAGTTGGGTGAGTCATGCAGCCCACGGAGCGCCTGATCCCAGCTCCTGAGGGCAGTGGCGTGGGGCGAGCTGGGGAGAGCCACGGAGAGCCCAGGGCAGGGGCCATCTCAGTAATGTCGCCCTCCTCCTCTGCAGCCCCCTGAGCCCAGACAAGGGGACGCGACTGCTGAAGGACCTCGCCCACCTCCTGCAGGTGCCAGCCAGCGTCTTCGTGGACACCGAGTGAGTGCTCTGTCCTGTCTCCTGGTGTGGGAGGTGAGGGAGGGCCCCGAGCCTGTGGGCCTGCCTTTGGGATGGGGAGGAAGGTGGTTCTGGCGCGCCTCAGGTGGACCTGCAATTCCCGGTGAGAACTGATCTGCGGGAGCACCTGCGTGGTGAACACCAGGGGGCCCGGGCTGCACCTGGCCTGCCAGGAAAGACCGCAGCCAGCACATACAAAGCGCAAGGCACCCTGTCGCCGGCCGCAGCTGCCCGGGGAGGGGCAGACCCAGGACCAAGGCTCCCCTTCTCAGCAGTCGGGTTAAGGAAGTCGATGGCACTGGGGTGCAGAGCATCAGGACGGGGCGCGAGGCGGCCGCTTGCCTTTGCTGGAGAAGCAGGTGGGCGCTCGAGAGTGGGCAGGAGCACGAGTGAGCGTGCGGCGGGGGC